ATTAAACTCGTCTGCATGCTATTGCTGAATTGGCCAGGGAGAGGATCGTTATTCTAAATCCTTCTAAATTCTTCGTTTCTCCCAAGTCCCACTTCCGTCAACCTTACGGCTTCGGTTGCCTGATAGGCCTCCGGATTGGATTAAAAAATAAGAGAGAAAAAACAGGAAATTTAGTTTTTGATTGAAAAGATTGCCCAAACGTAATTCGGATTACATTGGGATAGAATGAGAAAAAATAAGTTCCGCAGCTCGTTTTTACCGCTGACGTCATCGTGAGAATTATTTTTACTGGTTGTAAATTACGACGTCATGTACTATAGAAATTACTGATTGGTCGTAGGTGATACAGTCGGCGTGGAGTGTCACTGGTTGTAGATAATGACGTCACTAAGTGCTTATGGTAAAAACAGCGGTCGACCGCTCGTTGCGACAGCACAGTGGAGATAACTACCGAGTGAAAAATGCGAAATCGTGTAAATGCAAAAAGAAAAATGTTGCAAAATGTTTTTCATGAAAAAATAAGGCAAAAAATAAAAGGGCACGACAGGCTAACATACCTCTAGAGAAACATACGAAATAAAAATTATAATACAAATTATTTCAATAATATTAATAAAAATATCATCAACAAGTAATAATAATCGTAATGATGATGACGAGAATAGTAATAATATCCATAATAATGAAAATAATATAGCAACAACAACAATAATAATCATATAATAAAAAATCAGCATAACAACAGCATGAGCGCTAAGAAATGGACCCGGCGTCCCGGCGCGGCCGCAGCGTCAGCGCCAAGGTCCTCCCGCGTTCTTCCAAGGCTGCGGACACGCGGCCGAGGGCGCGAAGGTGAGACGCGCGCTATTTATAGGAGTTTATCTCATTTCTTGCGATCCTTCGGGCTTCGTTCCCGCTTCCTTGTGGCGATTCACGAGAATGCGCGGCGCGCCCGCCTGGAATTCCGGCCCGAGATTTTTGTGACAAGTTTCTGGTTAGCTTCATTCATCTGCATTCATTAATGATAAGAATATTTTATTGACTGGTTCATGCTTCACCACCGTCGTGCAACGATCCAGAAATTAACTCAAGATTAAGAGTGGAGAACATACTACAGGAATGACGTAAGAAGTTCAGGATAACGAGGCTTTGTTTGGATGTTGGTTGGGATGTGTGTGATGTGCGCGGGTGTCGACGACTTCAAAACCGAAAATTAATAAATAGAAAATAAAGGAAAAACCTGGAGTTTCCAAATTAAAGGACTTTCAACTGGAAACGACACTTTAAATCACCTTCGTCAATCATAACGGCTTTCCGGCGGCAAACTCCATCAACAAGGCAGCTTCAAGTCGCAAGATTGATGGCGTTGGAAGCTGTGCAAAGACGGAGGCGGGAAAGACTCACGAAAGAGACACATCGTCAACAGTCTTCAGGTTCAGACTGATATGCATTGCGGTGAGTTTGTTTACGAAGAAAACTGGATCCGCAGCAAAGGGGAAAGACGCCAAAAACAAAGGGGAAAACCGTTTGATGGAGAAGTAAATGCAGTCACCCGATTAATACTGAGCGCCTGGAACATTCCGCGCTCAGAGCCACGCTCTTGGAGGAGGCGCGTCGGCCAAGAGTCGTGGGCGAAGAAAATTAAATTAACAATAAAGAAACTTGCATCGTCGGCTCTTCCCGGGCTCTACAACCCCCACCCCCTCTAATAGGGGAAAAAGGGAAAAGGCTTGGACATGAGAAATCGCCCGGACTAACCGTAGCAGGAACACTTCCCTGATCCCTGGAACAAGGAGAACAGGACGGCGCCTGGAACCCGCGTCTTGGCCGTGTTCCAGGCGCCCTCAACGTGACGTCACGCTGGGAGCACGAGGTCACCCACGCAGATGGGGAGGGTAGGGGGGGGGCTGATATGGGGCGCTAGGGGCAGGGAAGAAGACAAAGGGAGGAGAAAGGGAGAAGGGAAGGAAGAAAGAGCTGAGGGGGGGGAGGAGGGGGAGCGGGGAAGGGGGAAGAAGGGAGGGAAGGGGAGAGGGGAGGGAGGAGGAGGGAGAGGGGAAGGGGGAAGGAGGGGGAGAGGGGAGGGGGAAAGAAGGGGGAGAGGGGCGGGTAAAGAGAAGTGGGAAAAAGAGGTGGAGGAGGTGGAGGAAATGGAAAAGAAGAGGAATGGGAAGGGGAGAGAAAAGGCACGTAGAGGAATGGGAATGGGAATGAGAATGAGAATGGGAAAGGGAGGGAGAGGAGAGGACGATGAAACAAGGAGAAGAGAGAAGCGGGAGAAAGAGCGGAAGGGAATGAAAAAATGAAAAAGTGTATGTTGCGAAGGAAACGAGGAGTAAAACAAGGAGAGGAAGACGAACAATGATGGGTGGGAGTGGCGAAGGTCGGTGAACGGGAGAAATGGAAAGGGAAATGAAATAAAGATGAAATAAAGGAAACACTCCACTATCGGCGTCAACAGAAGAAAAACATCGCCCTATTGAAGATATAAAGGACTAATCGGGAACGCAAAGGGAAAGAATCCAAGTACTAAAACTTGATGGATAGATAAATACATAAACATCAAAGTGGCGTAGAGCAAATATCAACAAAGACAGGAGAAAGAGACAAATAAACAAACAAGCTTGTACTGCGGAACCAAACATCAACGTTGCAACAGCCGCAACGCCGGAACACCCAATCCCCCCCCCCCCACTCATTGCTCCTTGATTACCGATTGACCTTTGCAACCAACCTTCCACCCCCCTCCCCTCCCCCCACCCCCGCGGTTCATCCCCCGTTTAACTTTTCACCCGGAGGAAGGGAAATAACACGAAGAGGAAACATGTACACAACAACAAACAACAAACCACTGCAACAGATACAACAATAACATTAAGAAAACAAGTAATAACAATATCAACGATAAAGATAATTTCAACAGTAACAGTAGTAATACCAGTAATAGTAATAGTAACTGTAATAATAACATCATTGACAACACTACTAAAAAAACAAACAAACAGAAGGCATCCAAAAAATCATTCCTTCACCGAGAAAGCTTGAAATAAAAAATACCTCTACGCGTCATGGCTAAGAAGGGGGCGCCAAGAGTTCCAAAAATGCACGAGAGAGAATGAAAGGATAAGAATAAACAGGGGGAGAGCTGTGGCCAGGACGAGGCAAGGAAGATGAAGCAGCAGAGACTCAAAAGGGAGAAGGTTGAGATAGGTCAGAAACGGCGGGATCGGCCAAGTAAAAAAATGGGAAAACACTTGCGGTCCCGGGAACACGGTAAAAATAGATAAGCAGGCGGGTCGAAGCTTTCTTCGCTTTTATCTATTTATCTATTTACTTTTTGTATTGTTTTAGCAATAATTTCGTTATTTGGTTCTCAAATCTTTACTTGTTTCAGATAAATGGCTCCATGAATACTTATTTTCAGAAAATGACAAAGTTTCTTGGATTTATGTGCAGTTCCGCACCCAAGACCCACATGTCAAGTCAAAATACACGTCTTGATGAAGAACGTGATCCAATATTGATCTAAGATCTACAACATTTTGGGTTTGGTCAGACTAAAGGAACCTTAATAGTTTTTTTCCCTTGGCCTAAGAAAGAAACAAATAAAAAAGGATAAACAGCTGAAATAAAGTTAAAGAAAAGAAAACGAGAAGAAAAAACAGGGACAGACACGAGGCAGGAGGAGGCTACCACGCCCTCCCACTTCAGCTGAATACCTCCCTTCTTCAAAGGCGTAAATAATAAAAGCAGAACTTCTCAGAAAGTAAGAAAGATCCTGAAATGAGACCCGTGTTGGAGAGCTGAAAGAAAGAAAGGAGCGAGAGAAAAATACAAGTCAGAAAAGCAACTCCCGGCAACCAAGGGGAACACTTCTTTGATTACACATCTTTAAATAAAATATCAAACTAAACCCGTTGAGCGTTACTAAAAGCTAAAAAAAAAAGGAAAGAGAAAAAGAAAACGCAACTTCCGAGAATGAAAGGAGCGTCACGATCCTCTGAAGAAAGCGGATAAGAAGGTGAAGGAAGGAAGGAAGGAAGAGGAGAGTAAGACGAGGAGGAGGAGAGGAGGAGAGCAGGGCGAGGAGGAGGAGGAGGAACAACTGGAAAATGATGTGCAATGAGACGAGAAGCAGGACGAAGGCGATGAGGATGCGGAGGCAACGGATAACAGGAAAGCAAAGAAAAAGAAGCAAGGTAGAGAAGGTCCAGAAAAATGAAACGGAGATAGAGAAGGAAGAAGAAGAAAAAGAGGACAGGGAGACGGCGAATGAGAAGGACAATGAAGAAGAGTAGGGGGAAGACGAGTAGGAGGAGGAGGAGGAGGAGGAGGAGGAGGAGGAGGAGGAGGAGGAGGAGGAGGAGGAGGAGGAGGAGGAGGAGGAGGAGGAGGAGGCCCCTCGCGTCCTCCGGGGTCGCATCACACAGTACTGTTCAGTCAATCTACTCTACCGCTACATCCCCGATCCTTAATTTAATCTAACTACGAAAGGAGTGCGATCCGAGCAAAATAAAAGAGGCAACTACGAGCGTAAACAGAAAGCACAATGACATTCCCGGAATTCCTTGTCCTGAGCCCTGGCCGGCAAAGGGTTGTGGGCCTCTAAGAGTTCCTAGCAGGGAGAGCTATGTTGTTTGTCCATGTTTTTCTGTTGCCAAACGGGCGGTTTAGTGTCCCTCGTGTGCATGCAGGAAGATTTAATCCGTGAAGACAAAGAACCTTTTAAGAGGAGTTTCAAGGTGACCGCGAGAGATAAGAAGTCCTCTCTCGGGGCTACGAAGGCTGGAGCTCAGAGGGATGCAAGGGACTCCAGTTTACATACGAAGAAAAAGCCATCGTTATTGTTTTGTCTTTCTATCAAGTCCAGGTAGATACTGTGAAGGAGATTCCCGAAGTGCCATGCAGACCAGACAGGAGGGAGGCGACAAGAGACTGAAGAAGACCCAGCGAGCGCGGGTCGGGCGCCCGAGCGGGGCCGTCATGCACCGAGCCTTTACCTTGGTGCGCCAGAACTGCCTGCGCGGGCGGGTTCGCACCCATAGCCAGGTCGCGCTCGTCGGGGTAGCCGAACGCTTCGTAAGAGGGGGACAGCATGTTACTGCCTAGGGACTGCAGGCCGCCCATTTCGGCCATGGCTTGGCTGTGGGCGTAGTAGGTCCTCGGCAGTGGCATTTCGGGGCCGTAGCCGGGCTTGTCTGGGCCGTAGGCCTCGTACTCGCCCTCGTACCCCCCGTGGACGGCGGGGTAGTGGTAGTCCACGCTTCGCTGGTCGAAGCGCAGGCCGCCCTGGCCCATGTACTCCGGGAGGGCGTGCGCGGGCGGCAAGGGCGGGTCGGGGTCCATGGGCATCGGCCTCCCGGCGGCTTCCACGGACAAAACCTCACGGCGCGGCAGCGGCGTGGGACGGACAGGGATGGCACCTCGGACGGGCGGGAGCAGGGCGTCGCGGGGCGACGGCGAGGGCGGGATGGCGGCCGAACTCACGCTCTCCGGAAACCCGGCTCTCAGGTCGTCCTCAACAGGAGCCCTTGAGGCTGAGCCCGAGGGCAGGCCCTGAGAGACAGTGGCGGAGGGAGGCGGCCTGCTCGCCGACCCGGTCCTCACGTCTGCCCCGCTCGGCCCGCTGCCTGCGCCCGACGGGCCGGACCCGATCAAGCCGCCGCTCCTGAGCAGGACAGCCTCGCTCTCCTCGGGGTAGGGGGACGCCTCCTTCGAGGGGTCCTGCGCCCCGAGGCGACGAGGCATGCTGTCAAACCTGGCTAGACTGGGGGAGTCAGTGTCGAGGAGCGCGGCGCCACCACTACCTTGAAACGCCGTCGTGTTGTCCTCCGGCTGAAGATGCCCACTGCCCGCTGCCGACGCTGCCAAGCCTGGCGACGCGGCGCTCTCCTCCAGGCCGGCTGAAGGCGTTGCAGCGTTCGCGGGGGCATTCGGGGCGTCCTGCAAGACGTCCTGCGAGTCCGACGAGAGATGGGGCAGGACGCGAGGGCCGCTCTGCAGCGTCCTCCCTCCCGCCCCACCCACCAAACTGCTGTTGCTCCGGCCATCCGTCACTGCGAAGGAGAAAGAACACGCGGGTTAGCACTCATTTGTTTAATGCAAAACACTAATTGCGTTCATATTCATATCCATTCATAACTACAGTCAGCAATCATAATAGGATTTCTTGTGATCTTGACCCAACGAAAATGTCTTTTGAGTATATTTGCAGCCTTTTAATTACATGAGAGTTAGTATAACTATTAACAGATAACTTGGCAAATCATCAGTGCGAGATAAACTGGCAATAACGAAGCATGATGAGGATGACTAACGAATTTGATATGTATAAATATTTGTGTGTGTATGTGAGTAATTACTAAAAGCAGAAAGGCAAATGAAAAAAGAGACAAAGAAAGAAAGAAAAGCAACACCAAGAGAGTCTAACACTTTCACTTCTGCTTTCTGGCGTAATTACAACCAGTCCTAAACACTCGATTTTTTCGTGAGATTTCGTGAGTCTGTGCCTTGTCTTCCTCTCGCCTCACGAATCTCACGACGCGAGCGGACTTTCCATCCTCAATCTATTCCTTCACATTGTACATTATTGTCCATGGTCATCAAGCTCTCTCGCCATTTCTGCCATCAAAATAGATATAAATGACCGAGGAAAAAGAAAAAGGTTAAAAGGAGGAGAAGAAGAAGAAAGCAAAACACGAGTAAAATATCACAGAAGGGAGAGAGATCAGCGTGAAACGTACCCGCTTCCCCCACTTCAAAGAAAGAAAGGAAAGAAAAAAATGACATCCCTTCGGATATGAAAATCAAGACTTCAACTATCCTTGAGCGCTGCCGCCGCTTCCGTTCATTTCGAGTGCCCCCCTCCCCCCACACGGCCCCTGGGGTACGCGTGGGACTAGATCGGGCGCAGGACAATGAAGGAAAGTGAAGAGAGACAGAAAGGGTTAAAAGGAAGAAAAGGGGAGGGCAATAGATAAGAAACACTCATAGGGGGGAAAGGAGAGACGAAGAAAATGAGGAAGATTAAAAAGTAAATGAAACACAAAATATGAAAAAAAATATATATTGAAAAGAAGAATAAAATACACAGAAATAAACCGCAAAATAGACCGCATATGACGAAAATCTCGGGACAAGTAAAGTACAAACTAATGAAAAAAACAAAAAACAAAAAAAACTCGAGATAGAACCGAACCAACAACTACAGGGGATAAAATAGTAGCTGGAAGAGGCGTCTCGGAGGCCCTGTATTGACGTTCCCAGGAATCTCAAGTATAAAATCTTAGTCCAGGATCCTCTCGCGACCAATAAAACGTCTGCAGCGACGCTCCACAAAGACCTTCCATCAAGAGGGATCTCGCAGCCTCGAGTTCAAGGCAAATGTTGCATGTTGCATTTCTTGAACGTCTTAGCAGGGTTTTTATGTGTATTAAAAAAAAAATTGTAAAGTAAGCATGAAAACGCAGATTACGTATGAATGAATGTCTAAATATATCC